TGGTTTTGTTAAGGTAGTGAGAAAAGAGTTGCACAAATAGTAATCCGCCAGCAGTGAAGACGGAGAAAAAGGAGTGTCGTACATAATAAATCGGGGTAGTGGGGGTTATGTAAGGTAAGCAATTAGCTTTGAAGCTACTATCCACGCAGCTGCCACGGCCAAACTAGCGACTTCTTTTTCCTGAATGGCTGCTTCCAAATGCAATGTCTTGTTTCAGCATAATGCAGTCAGTAACCAAGTCCATGAGGCTGGGCTCTTCTGCTGGATTGTGCATGACACGTTCCTCACCTGCAGCTTCCTGTTTCGCGCGTCAATGTGCATATTTACCGTATGTAGTTCTGCAACTTAAAAATAATAACTCCAGTCTTTTGGTGTGATACCGATCAACCTAAACTACCTAACCTAGGTACTTTTCTTAAGGTCACGTATTAATATAATAATTCCGCGATTTCATCTTTCTTATTATTTTCACATGAAATAGTAACAAATCTCAAGTTTGTCTATTCCCGAGTACCGAGTCAAGTACATACCTATACTCAATTGTCCTGTTTGCCTTAGCTGCTTTTCCTTGACACTTTACATGTAGCTGCGCCCAGCCCCCAAAACTGACGCGTACCTACATCGTGCAACGTCGGCAACGAAGATATATCGAGATATTCTACATCCCCTCACTCGTCTACCTTTATGCCTGGAAAAGATCTACCACGAACCAACCATGTCCGAACCAAAGAAGAAGGGGCTTTTGAGTGGTCTGATGCGCAGGATTAGTAACGCCCAAGGGAGTGGTAAGCTGGTATGTATCCGCCCCGCAGCAAGTTGATGCCTTACTCACGGGTCACGAGGTGAAGGATCCGCCATCAAGACGGGCAAGCGATGGCGACATACCTGTACGAAGACATCGATCTGATAGACCTGATGTTATCAGTCCTCGTAGACGACCGCGCCGTCCGGATCCACGTGATTTAAAAGGTAAAGGCAGGGAGCAGCCAAACGGCCATAAGTACGAACCGGCACCCTTGTCAGAATGGCCCCCATCTGGTATTTCCAAAGAGGAACAACTTACCCTCGGCCACGCAATGGAGCTCATCTCGAGAGGTGTTCCAGCGCACAGGGGACATAAACGGCCTATACCTCATGCGTCAGATCATTACTATGGGCTATACACGACGACAGCTGGTAATCACGGTGATGACAACGATACTGTTAACCAGCATGATGCCATGACTCAACTCACAACCCTGTGCATACAGGGCTTCGGTCAACCTAAGTATCCATGGGAGACTCTTGAACAACCAAGTCTTGCTTTTGGATTCGGAGGACGGCCGGGTACTATCACCCTAAACCACTGGGTAAATATATTTAGCGCAATCCCACCACCGATCGGGCTTCGCGACCCTGGAGTTGTGCCGAGAGAAGTTGATTTAGCTTCGATATTCGAACGACTACAGGATTTAGAGGCTGGTTTAGAAGATGGGAATGACGAAGTCTTATATCGTCTGTATAAACGATTTCTTAAAGACCCCGATAAGCTCTTCAGCCCACATAAGACAATGGAGAAGCAGATTACGGATTTGGTTATGTGCCTTTCAAGCCCAGATTGGTTTGATTTCTCGAATCCGAAGAATCAGGTTGTCACAAAGTTTATCTATGACGCGGGCCCCGAGAACCAGCAGCAATACCATAAATTCTTCTACCAGTTACTCTTGAGCCTTGAATTAGAGCTACGAATCAATTCGAAAAAGCATCAGGACCCGGCCAGGGAGAGACTTGTGGCACAGATACCACCGAGAATTCAGTGGAATTTGGCTCTCGCTAGGCGGTGGAGGGATTTTGTGCGTATCGAAGATTACGGCGAGGAGCCAGATCAGATCAAGCTACGGTTCAAGATGAGGAGGAGACAGGTCAGCATGCTGAAAAGATTCGCTCAGATGATGAAATGGCCGAACCTTGCCGACACGATAAGCGAGCTCAAGCAGAGAGATACTGAGGGAACGCTGATGATCGTCAGTTCGCACGCGATGGCTTTCTTCAGCGGTCTAGTCTTACCAGGAGTATGAACCTACCATTCACCCCCTTATTCATGACATTGTTGAATTTGCTAATCTCCATGTAGCCCACATTCCCTTTTCTCATTATGAACTCTTTGATTGATATCGACCCCGATAAGGCGACTGACAATCTTGCTTTGCTTACGCACCTTCATCCCCACTGCGGCTTCCAGTACCGCAATAGTTATACTTACTGGAGATCGGCCTGCATCGTTGGTAAAGTACTTGCGCCGACGTGCCACGAGGTCGCTGGATGGGTTGGTCCAGCTAGACCGACAAAAGACTTGGGACGCTCTGAGATTGCCCGGATTCGCTCGAAAAAACCACGACAGAATATTCTAACGCCAGAGGACGTAACTTCTATGAGCGATAGATCGGACCCCTTGGGGCCACGTTCTGAAATTTACCCCGTCGGGGATTACGACTTGTTGGCACCTGACACGGATGATACAGTCGATACAGTCCTACTTGAGCAGGTTATTCTCAAGGTAGCTACTGATAAGCAAGATTCGGGCCCTAAATGGTTCGACGCGTCGATACAGTTCGCTATTGATGGCGTATCCTGGCCACTTCACCTTACGTTTGATGTATCGTTCATCAATGCTTGGCCGTGCTCTGACGGACCTCACCCTCTGTTCTTTGACTATGTCTATACTCCCCGCAAAGTTGACGAACTCGTAGATATCTTAGACTGGGGTAAACCAAATTGTAGGGAAAGAAGCTTTCATTCAACGTCAGCTGGCGGAAGCAAGCCGCCAGAATTTGAACCCATCGTGGGAGGGGACGACGCGGAGAGAGTCCTAGTGGTTGAGGCGTTCGGCAGCAGCGACAACGAAGTCTTGGCGCGGGCGTGGTGCTCTCACTGGGGACTCAGCGCAGTAGTGGCGGATATTAGCAGGACTTGGTGAGTTGTTCTCGTCGCACGACGATGATAGATGATTGATTGATTGATGGCTAATGCGACACAGCATGGCATGCGCTATCCGCGAAGCTTATGCAGCAACCTTAACGGTTGTAATTCTTGTTGAGGATCAGCCGGGAGATGCAGAATAACCAAGGTGGCAGTCGGAAGTTTCATTGCGAGTGCTGGGGATCGTCACGATCACCGGCAAACGGTGACGGCGCATAACGACAAGACACATACACATACTAATCTCTTAACGAACATATTGACGCAGTCGACGACTTTCACGATGGTTACACGATTATACAGGTGTTCTTAGGTATTAGGGGAATGGCATAGGATAGCTAAAAATTTGTTTTTATAGCCCGGAATAGGGAGTTTCGCATAGATATACCCGTTCAGTCAGTCCCATTCCGCATTCCGGTCTTAATTGTATTACTATTTCTCCCACGCAAGACTATGTTGAGTCCTGCTTTGGAAGTGCGGCTTTTTAAATGGATTACCTATGTTGGCTGATCGGCATCCTTTGCGGAGGGTGCTTGACGAACCAGAGGCCCAGAGGACCCTGACTACAACCGAGAGGCAGGGAGTGGCGGTTTGCCACACCATAGATCATCGTGACCTCGCTCCTAATACCGGACTTCCTTACTGCAAACGTCCGAAAGCCAAGCTGGCGGTGGACGTATGCTGGTTATGTATGCCGGTATGTACATCACATCCTGACATCCTGACATCCAAGCATTCGTCAACCCTGTCGCACAGCTGTAATGTGGGTTGTTCGCTTAGTGCAAATTCTCTAAGATGTCAGACCTGTGGATTGGTAGTCTCCAATAAATCCGGTGTAAAATTTTTGGCCCTCCCACGTTCTGCACGTTATTGTCGGCTCACCCGAAAATATTGTGGAGTGGCTTGTCACCCAACAAAAGTCACGATACCTATCAGAGGTGGGAGTCTGGAGGTTAGGCGATGGGAAGAGGTACAGGTAGGTACTTGGCATCAACGGACTATATGTAGGTAGGTAGGTACCAGGTAGACAGCGCGGAGGGGAAGGCGGTTTAAATTAGGGAAAAGATTAGCGGGGTATCGCTTGGCTTTAGCGGCTTCCGTCTCCACATACCCCACCTTGTGACGACAGTACGGTACTGCGGTGTACCCTGCAAAAGGGTAGGATTTGCACCGGCTTCGCCCAAAGGTCCACACAGGCCAGGCTGACCCAGGCCACTCTAAATGTTTCGATACATTTTCTTGGGAAATGGATGGAGGGGGAGGGGCGGTAACAAGGGTTAAGTAACAAGGGGGGGTAGCTTCTTAGACTAGTAGTAGTACATATTATTATTATTACATACCTAGGTAGCTACCTATTACATACCTAGGTACCTACCTAAGACAGCTCACAAGGCTTGAAGTGTTAGGTAGGTAGTATAAGGTAGTGATACCCTTTTTATACTCGTATAACAATATTTTCCCTACTTCCTCGGTTTCCCATCGGGTTTGCTTCCTGCCTTCGTCCTGCGCGAATTGTTTGTTTCATTTACCGGACTTGCTTCTCGAGCTGACACACACAAGACACCAGATTCGAAATTGTTGGACAGCGATTGGAAAGAACGTCTAGCTCGGCATTGTGTCCTACCCAAACCAATTGGGTGGATTAAAGTTTCCTCTTGTGATTAATAACTCTATTCGCTCTATTCGCATATTCACTCGTTTTGCCGTGTACGCCGGAAGCAGAAGCAGGTGCAGAAGTGGCTGACTTGAGGCCGCACCTTCCCCGACGATGGAGTTAGTCATGTCCATGTCCCCAAGTTCTTAATCTTTTGGCCGTTTGACCGTTTGACCGGTTGATCGGTTGATCGGTTTATCGTCTGTACAACCGATAAGTCGATAAGTCGATAAGTCAAAGCTACATAGGTTCTGACAAAGAGTTCCCGTCTAGTACCCGGAATATAATTCACTTCGAGGATAACGTGCGTTTCTATAAGAGCTTCTTATAACATTCTTCCCCCAGTGTCAATACAGCTTCATGGATCTAGTCAATTAACACAGTCACCATGCAGGATCACTACATTGGTATTGACGTTGGTACCGGTTCTGCCCGTGCCTGTCTTATAGACTCGTCTGGAGACATCAAAGCTCTAGCATCAGAGGCCATTAAGCTATGGCAGCCCCAGCAAGGTTACTATGTACGTTCTTTCACGAAGTTCCCCCTGCTTTGTCTTGACAAGTGTGACGTGGGACCTAACAAAGCTCAAGGAACAATCAACTACCGATATCTGGCACTGTATTTGCCATTGTGTGCAGCGCGTCGTCCACCAATCCGGAATCGACGTCAGTCACATCAAGGGCTTAGGTTTCGATGCTACTTGTTCGCTCGCAGTCTTCTCTGAAAAAGATGACCAACCTGTCACTGTTACCGGTCCAGACTTCGAGAACGACGGCAACGATCGCAATGTTATCTTATGGCTAGACCACCGTCCCGTCCAAGAGACGGACAAGATCAATGCTACAGGCCACAACCTGTTGCGATATGTAGGCGGCAAGATGAGCATTGAGATGGAGATTCCTAAAGTATTATGGCTGAAGAACAACATGCCTAAGGAGCTATTCGACCGCTGCAAGTTCTACGACTTGACAGATGCGTTGACTCATTTGGCTACCGGCAACGAGAACCGAAGCTTCTGCAGCACAGTTTGCAAGCAAGGCTACGTCCCTATCGGCGTAGATGAAAGTGAGAAGGGTTGGCAAGAAGATTTCTTCACTGAGATCGGACTAAGCGACTTAGCTAAAGACAATTTCAGGCGCATGGGAGGCGTGAATGGAACTGTAAGCTCCCCTCCCCTCCTCCCAATTGGTCCTCTGCTGTATCGAGACAATTCGCTGATTGGTTCCCTAGAATGGTAAATACTTTAGCGCGGGAGAACTGGTTGGTCATCTGTCTGACCATGCTAGCAAGCAGCTCGGACTGCAGGCTGGCATAGCAGTGGGCAGTGGTGTAATTGATGCCTACGCCGGCTGGGTCGGTACCGTTGGAGCAAAGGTTGACACCGAGTATGGTCACGCGGACGAGAGCGCCCCGGCAAACGATCTCGCCCAAGCCTCTACCCGACTTGCTGCCGTAGCTGGCACATCTACCTGTCATCTTGCCATGTCCGAGAAACCCGTGTTCGTCAACGGAGTATGGGGACCCTATCGTGACGTACTCCTGCCGAACTACTGGTTAGCAGAGGGTGGCCAATCGGCAACGGGTGAGCTTTTGAGGCACATTCTCGAGACACATCCGGCACATAAAGAGATTGTACCTCTTGCGGAAGCTATGCACATGAACATATACGATTACATGAATGGCCATCTAAGGGAGTTAGCTGAGAAGACTCACGCTCCTACCGTTTCCTACCTTGGACGGCACTTCTTCTTCTACGGTGACCTGTGGGGTAACCGATCGCCCATTGCGGATCCCAACATGAAAGGATCTGTAATTGGTCTCAGTTCTGATTCTAGCGTTGATGGTCTTGCCCTATATTACTATGCCACCATGGAGTTCATTGCCTTGCAAACGCGACAGATCATAGAGGCTATGAACAAGGCAGGCCACAACATTCAGACTATTTTCATGTCGGGCAGTCAATGTCAGAACGATATGCTTATGGATCTCATCGCTACTGTCTGCGATATGCCGGTATTAATTCCTCGATACGTCCACGCTGCTGTGGTGCACGGGGCGGCCATGCTTGGTGCAAAGGCAGCAAGCGCAGATGCCGATGGCAAGACTGAGAACCTCTGGACTATCATGGACCGAATGAGCAAGCCGGGTCGGCTCGTTAAGCCCGGGAGTGACGCGAACGAGAAAAAACTCTTCGACGCCAAGTACGAAGTATTCCTAGAGCAGTGCCGGACCCAGCGGGAATACCGTTCTAAAGTTGATCAGGCTACTAGTTCATGGGGTCTTGAATACGGAAATTAGACAAAAGGGAACTACTGGGTATGGTGTCGGGAATTAGGTGTTAATGAAAAGCTCCGTGGGACTCATGAGCAGGCGCGGATGGTAGAGGGTAGAGCACCTGTAGAAAGGCTAATGCCATAGGGATACAATCTGTGATTTAGACTAGGTTAACTGCGTATATACGCGTTTATTTCCAAACCGATGTGAACCAATAGAGTAAGAATTGTAAACCCAAATATGCTACGTTTGTTGTTGTTGAAAGACTATCTAGTCTTGGAAGCAAACGAAAGTGATTGATTGGAATGTAACGGAATGGAAGGTAGTTACCTGATGCTACTAATCTGCTAATTGACTTCCCAAGGAGTTGGTTTCCATAATGGGACGCATTACAGGTAGATATAATACATATAACAGAGGGCTAACATGTACCTACCTAGGTTAAGTAAATGTAACTTAGAAATCAGCAACTGGTAATCGTAAGACGAATTTAAAGAGTGTTGAAATATGCAATAACTATATTAATTAATTGTAAACTTGTTATATTTCTAACACTTGACGATATACCTATAGAGAGGCATATGCTCAAGCCGGTTTGCAAACGACAAGTATAATACCTGCCGTTAAAGACTGGCCTAACTAAAGTTTAATACTTTAAAAGCTAATATTGTATAAAAATAGGTACATGTAGTGTAGATTCCTCTTGACTTATAAAGGTGACTACTCGTTTTGGAAGACGCGTAGTTAGCGTGGTACATGGTCCGTGCAGAAGCTACTATGTACCTGCAACGTCTTTTGCCTTGTTGATTGTTTTTTTTCAGCCTTGCCATAAAATTCCGAGCTCTAAATAAATCGACAACCATCCAACTCATTCATTGGGCCATTCTTTCAGCTGCCAATTGCAGCAACCCGACCATCTCCCAATAGTGACCGACCTATCATTTTCATTTCAAGATGGCCTCGTTGTTCGGAAAGCAATTAGGCCCTGGCGGTGTCAACCAAACGGCCAATACAGCTTCTACTTCCGGGCCGACGTCTTCGTTATTTGGTACCGCTACTAATCCTGCGCAGCAACAGCAGCAGCAGCAGCAGCAGCAGCAGCAGCAGCAGCAGCAGCAGCAGCAGCAACAGCAACAGCAATCCATATTTGCAAGTACCGCCGGTACATCATCTGCGACTCAACCGACCCAAACTAGCAGCCTATTTAATAGATTCGCTACGGCTCCTTCAAATCAACAACAGCCTCCAGCAGGAGGCCTTACCGGATTATCTACTGGCAATCAGCAGCAGCAGCAAGCGGGAAGCATGTTTAGTACCTCGGTCGCCCGGCCTACCCAACCCGCCACTGGTGGCTTTAGTCTCGGACAGTCTACAAACAACCAAGCTCAAGGACCATCTCAAGGGCTATCATCTATTCTTGGAGTTAGTCAGCTAAATGCCAGCGTGCTACCCCAGGGTAATACGACAGGGTACTTCGACAGCTTGCTCTCGAAAGGCAAGAAGCAAGGTAGCGAACAATCACCACTCGAAGATCTTCCCAGCCTTCAACTTGGCCTTGGAGACCTTCGTCAGCGCCTTCGAAAGCTAGGTCCGCAAGCGGATCCTTTGGCTCATGAAAAAGCTCGCTTTATCCTGGCCGCGTCTGGCGTAGAGCCGGCAGCAGCGGTGCGAGAGTTGAACGATTTCGACGTCCGGATCGGAGGCCGCGTCGAACGCCCTACACCCACCTCGGCCGTGGACGTTGACATCGATACATATCTCTCGAATATACAGAAGAAGACGACTCTCAGTATGATCGCAGACGGTCTGGAAAGATCGGCTAAGGACTTCGATAATTTTCTTGAAGATAACGTTACGATGGAGTGGGAGGCACAGAGGAAGCGTATCTACGAACACTTTGGTATTAAGACTAAAGACGATGGACCCGTTGAAGGACCGCCGGGAGCAGCCAACAGAGAGTCGCATGCGGGCTTTGGTCGGTCACGACGAACAACTAAGACGGCGAGGTCTTCGGTAGCAGGTATCAAGGCCAGCGCATTTGGACGGTCAAATCTTCAGAAGTCGGTCATTGGCACTCCTAGCAAGATTGGTAGTCATAAGACCGAATTTACGGATATCCAGGATGCGACGGGAAGCCCAAGTACCCTAAATGGTGCCACTTCGATCGACGATCGATTTCTCAGAGAGAAACAGGGTCGCCTCGCAGAACGAGTTCGACAACTTAATCTTTGCCGAATCGAGAAGCAGCCTTACCCTATTCTACACGAGCTTGCGCAGGTGGCAGGAAATTCCGGTGATAGACATGCTCAGCAATTAGTTGATGCCTATCACGCTGCCATGACTATCGTCGGGGAAAACCCAGAAGCGGAAACGTTTGCGGGCGATGCAACGGCAAAAGAACGCCAATTCAAGGACAAATACTTGGACGTGAATGACAAGTCTCCCGGATCAATAGAAATGCGAAAAAGGATCCTCAACGGCGCGAACGCCTTCTTAGAGAGGAAGTTTTTCCAAGAGATCGAGAACGTCATCGCCAAATACCCAAGAGAGGCAAATTTGGGAGGTCGCCCGGACGTCATCAGCAAGATCAAGGCATATGTTCGATTACGACACTCACGGAAAGACCTTGTACCTGATAACGTCGATCTTCAACAAGTCGACGGTGAATTCGTCTGGGCTATCGTATTCTATCTGCTACGGTCTGGGAAGATTGCCGAGGCGGCTGATTATGTTAAGGCTCAGTCGACTACTTTCCGGAGCATTGATCGTACCTTTGCATCATACCTCCTCGAGTATGTTGGTAGCCCCGATAGGCGATTAAGGCGCCAGTTGCAGGAGCGCTGCAATAACGAGTATAACCAACGAGCTCGTAATGCACCGGAGAACTCTATCGACCCGTACCGAATGGCTTGTTATAAGATTGTGGGACGCTGCGACGTGAGCAATCGTAGCCTTGACGGTCTGAACACAGAGATTGAGGATTGGATATGGCTTCAGTTCAACCTCGCTCGTGAGAATGACAAGGCAACCGAGGTGGCTGCAGAGTCGTACGGATTACAGGACTTACGAACAAGCATTCGGGATATCGGCCTCAAACACTTTCCAAAGTCTCCTAGCGAGGACGATACTGGCACTTTCGGCATGTTTTTCTTCCTACAGATCCTCTCGGGCATGTTCGAGCAAGCCATCTCATACTTGTATACTTTCTCTTACGTGGACGCTATCCACTTCGCCATAGCCCTCGAATATTATGGTCTTTTACGCCCTGCGGACCCCTGGAGCACGGCGGACTCGCTTCTATCGCACGACACTCGCTCCAGACCACAGTTAAGCTTTGGTAGGATGCTGGGATACTACACACGCGATTTCCGGGCTGCCGACGTTGCCTCGGCTGTCGATTATCTAACTCTGATCTGCCTCAATGCAGACTTGGGCGGCGAAGCGGGTCGGCAACAAGCAGAGCTTTGCCACGCGGCTCTGCGAGAACTTATCTTAGAGACCAGAGAGTTTAGTAAGCTCATTGGTGATATTAGACCGGATGGGCGCCGCATCACAGGTCTCGTCGAAGAACGTGCCTCGCTCATCGGCCTTCGGGAGGAAGATGACTTCGTGAAGACGGTTACGCTACAGGCGGCCCGGTTCGCCGATGATAACGGGCGGACAACGGATGCAGTACTGTTGTATCATTTAGCTGGAGACTACGACAGCGTGGTGACTATAGTGAGTCGCGCGCTAAGCGAGGCTATCGCACTAGAGATCGGCGAGGATCCTATGCGTTTAATGCCAGTTAAACCCCGATCGGATGGCAAGGACCCGGAGGCGCAAGTTGGCAGCAGCTTGAGTCTGGCGTCTATCGACGATCCCATCCAGCTTGCGATGACGATGATGTCGATGTACGAAAAGGACGCCATGTTCTATACGAGAGTCGAGGAACAGAACCGGATCGCGTGTCATATTCTTCTACAAATGAGCGATATCAAGAGCTTGGTCGAGGGTGGCCAATGGCCCGAGGCGTTGGATGTAAGTGATTTATTAATTCTCGGCCCGTTATGGATATATTAAATACTAACTAATGACGCAGAAAATACGCGCGTTGGAGATCTTACCCCTGGATGCTAACGGCGATCCGGCTAGGATCCGACACTACGCAGCAACTTTTTCGGGATTGTCCCAGACCGTTGCCATTAACGTGCCGAACCTACTCATGTGGACTATTACGTGCTGCATCCAACAGAGAGAGCGGCTCATGAGCGGGCAGTTCAGCGGCAACGAAGGCACTCGACGGATGATGTGCGACAACTTGAAGCAGATCAGCATGGATCTAACGACATACACAAGCCAGCTGAGATATAGGTTCCCGCCGCACCTGCACGAAGCTCTTGCTCGAGCCTCCGCGGATTAATGGGATTCAAGTGTAAAATAGGACTTGGATGTGTATGCACGCATTCCTTGGTTTGTCGGCACATAGTCGAAGTAATAGGTTGGTGCTTTTCGACGAGAAACGAGACGGGCGCATTTATCACGGTTGGTGGTTTACACTAGGAGCTACCATCTACATACATAGTAGTAGGTAGCGTAGATACGTTATAGTTATGCAAATGTATTACACGATGGAGCTGAGAGTAGTTGCATTTGAAACATAGGTACCTGTCAAGAGACGGTTTCGTCGTTAAGGTACTACATGTATGTAGTCGACGACAATTAGAGAAAGACTATTAGGGAAGCTAACAAGCGAGCTAAAATTAAAGTAGAGATAGGTCGGGACTGTCGGGACTGTCGGGACTGTCGGGACGGGTCGGCTAAGGACGGTCGGCTAATAGTGGCTTCTGTCGGCAGGTTTATTTCCTGACTCGTGGATCAACTAGACCAACATTGACCCACTTGGCGTCACTGAATCATGAAGGGCGATCTCCATGTGGACAGGTTTTGAAATGGACCAGTCAACTGACGCAAAGCAAATCAGGCTTTCCCCGACACCAGCGTTGCGCCCACTTTCTATCGCCTACCTAATCTACCAATGCCAATGCCATGATATACTAGTACTACCTACCTATCATACATACTATCATAGGTAGTACTTGTGATATGCACCCTTCCGTTAACGAAGCCTTCCCCTTCTCCACCTTTGTCAATCCCGACACCGACACCAGCACCAGCACCAACACCAATACCAATACCAACACCAATACCAATACCAACATCAACACCCACACCAACGCTAGCCACCATCGAGCATCCTCCTCCACCGACCCCATAACTGCCGGTAGCCCTTCCGAGAATAGTCGGAACGAACCCGACATCTTCGGCCATCTCCACAAACCCGGCCCCTCCTGCTCCTCCCAGGAGAATGGCCAGTCCTCCGATTCTGGGAACGCCTCTTCCCAGACGGGCCGCGACCATGTCTCGGGCTATCTCGAAGATCAGCGAACTAAGAAACGCCGGACCGGTCCCAGCCCAAGGGGTGTAGCAAACTTAACGCCAGAGCAGCTCGCCAAGAAGAGAGCAAACGGTATTAGATCCACACCTTGAGACTTTGCCCAAATCCAGATCCAAATCCAGATCCAAATCCAGATCCTATCATCTCGTCGTATACCTATCCAGCGAGCCTCGTAGGCCGAGCTGTCGTAATTATGCCCCAGATGTATAAATATAACTCTCCCTAATTGTGACAATCCAGCTTACTCTAATGTAACCCTATGTTTCTATGTATACATACCCCTTGCTAACTGCCTTATCTTCTTCCCTTAGACCGGGAGGCGCAAAGGGCCATCCGCGAACGCACTAAGAATCAGATCGAGGCCCTCGAGAGGCGGATACGCGAGTTAACTTCACAACAACCGTATCAGGAACTCCAGGCCGCTATACGGGCCAAGGAGGCCATCGAGGCTGAGAATGCCGAGATTAAAGGCCGGCTGGCCTCTGTCTTATCCCTAATACAACCCATATTATCTAATCAACAAGGTTAGTTGGTTTGATCAAGCATACAATGTTATGAGAAATGGTAGGTGGTAGGTAGACTAAAGGTAGACTAACCTTGTCGTTCTAGTCGATGGAGCTTATGCATCTCCTATCCCTACTATCACGCCAGCTCAGACCGCGCAGCGTTCGCCCTCGGTTCCTACTAGTTACAATGATTCGACACCCATGAGCGCTACGTCTCCTTCCGCAGCAGACACGCCATCCCAGGCACAATCACAAACTCATCCAAGTCCACATTTTACCCAGGTGATGCTGAACCAGCAACGACATGATCTATTTCATAACCTAGATCTCGGTGCCGGTGAGCAGCTCAAGCTTGATTTTCTGCTTGATCCCTCGCATCGTGTGAATAGGATGCAAACTGGTGTCAACGGGGCACAAGACACGCCGGGATATCAGCATCTTCCTACGAAATATGATTGGAACGTCGGCTTGCCCCCGTCCACTCGGAACCATGCGACCGTCAACAGCGGACCGCGCCAACACCGCCAACATCGCATAGAGTACGCGCCGCGGAATGTATTCCAACCGGTTGAGTCGTCTTGGGTTGGCAACTCGGCCCCTATCAAGAACGGCCCGTCGACCTGTCCTCTAGATAGCCTGCTTCTTGAGTTCCTACAAGAGAGACGTCAACGGGCCGCAGAGGGCGTCCCTACGCGGGACATAATCGGTCCGAGATATCCCTCCGTCTCATCGCTACTCAACCCAGCCAACAGCGTATTCTCTCACCCGCTGTCCAAGGTCTTCACAGACATATTGGCGGCCTTTCCAGGGATAAGCGGGCTTCCGGAGCGCGTAGCTGTCCTCTATTACATGTTTCTCGTCATGCGGTGGCAAGTTAGCCCTACGCAAGAGAACTACGACCTCTTACCCCCTTTTGCCCTCCCCACCCCGGCACAGCTACAAGTTACCCACCCGGCGTGGATAGACCACCTCCCCTTCCCGCACATGCGGGAGATGCTCGCAAAGGAGTATAACCCCGTCGAGTTTCTATTCGATAACTTTTTCATTCCCTTCACAACCACCGTCTCCCTCAATTGGCCGTATGAGGCCACAGACACGCTACTCCAGAGCCCGGACGGTAACGAACTGCTGATCAACCCCGTGTTCGAACGTCATCTGAGGAGATTCGAGAACTGGACGCTGGGAGAGTCTTTCGATAAGGCGTTCCCTCGTCTCAGGGGCACGTATAATCTCAAAATATGTACTGGCGCCCCGAGGGATATGGTGGATAGCCAGTTTAGCGGTGGGTGATTTGGTATATTGATATATATCTATATACATGAACTTATATAAGAAGGCTGGCACGGATCTAGCCCGGGCCACGCTATACGCAACACGTAGAAGAGGGGTATATATATATATATATATATACCGCCTCTTACGGGGACAGTACAACAAGTATCGGGACCCTGCCATTCCCGAGAAAGTCTAGTTGTATTTAATGGCAGGTTAGACAGAAATAAGAGGAGACCCGAGGGGTGTCCTTGGGTCAGGGGATGTATAAGGTAGATTGTTATGGGGGTCTAAGAAGTTGTTCGTCTATCCACCTGTATAATGCGAGTATAGATATATATATAGCTCGCTGTTTAATGCAATAGTGTTTAATAACATCGTTATATCCTGAGGAGCTATAGCATGAAGAGTATAACTGAATCTATAGCGTATCGGTCTATTAGCCTAGCCTCGTAAGCCACCTGTATAATGTTTGCTGGAGGGAATATGAGAAGCAAGTATATATATATATGTGTGTGTGTGTGTATCCTCTCAAAGAACTAAAGCCTTTTCGTAATGAAGCAATGAATGAAATACCTTGGTTACTATATTTCCCGTCGTCTTTTCTTCTTGGGGTATGTTTCTTTCCCCTTGTTCCTCCCTGCTAACCTAGTCTAGATAGGGGGTTATCTCTTCAGGCCATACATAAACCGCATCCCACGCCCATCTATCAGATGATCGAACAGGTAGTCTAAGTTAATAAGGAGTTAACTAGTGTGCTTCCTCTACTTGTAGACTTACTTTTATCTACAGTAGTTACTAGAGGCAGGTTCATAGTCATATGTCTATCTTACTATGCATCTTCACCATCTACGATATATTCTTACCCGTATATTGGCACCGACTCTCTCATTTAAAGATATATAAACAATCACGAATAGGCAAAAAGGCGTGAATACTCAAGCCAAGCAAGAATGTCAATTATAACTCCTCGATGCTAAAGCAACTATGAATGCCAACGCAATAAAGATGGGGTATATCCTCCTCAAATAAACAAATGATCATGAGCCAAGCTAGATGTGCATGCAAGATGCTCCCCCTTTTCGAAAATGCAAAGATTCTTTCCGTCCCCCTTCCCCTTCCCCTTTTCCGTTCATTCCATCATTCATTCGGTACTCGTGCAAATAGCCAAGTGAAGCAAAGCCAACCGATTCAAACAACCTTCCAACGACCTGTAACGCAATGCAATGCAATGCAATGCAATGCAATGCTGTGATGGTCTTCAGACGCACAGCACAAACAGACAAACAAACAGAGAAAGAAACAATATCCTCTTACGAGGCACAGGCACCGACACAGGCACCCACAACCCAACACGAACCAACACATATCGTAAGGCGCAAGACCCTACTCATCCGCGTCAGGGTCCCTAACCCCAAATGAGTAAACCCTAACGCGGTGATCCGCGCCCACGAACAAGCTCGGCGTATTGTCGCCAACAAACGTCTCCCATTGGACACAGTGAATCGGGCTCCCTGCCGCGATCCCATCGACGTCCGCGCAGGGGAGTCGAAGCCCGCTGTGCACCGAGTACAGCGCCATCTTCCCATCATCATGGGCCGCTGCCACAACCCCCGAGTCCCTGTCCACGTCCAGCCCGAGATCGAGGTACGGGCCGTTCTTAAAGCCGGCGATCTGGAGGAAGGGGATGGTTGTGGCCTTGGGCTTCGTGTGTAGGTGTTCGGATGCGCAGTAGCGAGTGTCGAAGACAGACAGCATGTTTCGTAGGCCGGCAACTAGGACTCTGTGCTCGCTGACTTGTTTGACGTGGGTGATGGCGTCGCGGACCTTGATGTTGGTCCATTTGGGATATTCGCACCGCAGGTCCCCGGTGAACAAGCGGCCGGGACGACCGCCAAACAAGAGAATGTTGGGGTTCTCTGCTTTGAAAGTGATGCCAAAGGTATCAGCGGTGGGGGGTCGGCCCATGGGATCTTTGAAGTTGAAGTGGCTCAGGGGAAATGGCACTGCTATGTATCCGAGATCGTTGTAGTAGACTAGGCCGTGAGTCGTGCCAATCACGCATAGCAGATCCGGACTGGTAGATGGAGCCATGCATAATGAGAGAGCCTCTATCGGATCTCGGCATGTAGCAAAGTCTAATAGTTAAGTCTAGTTAACATACTGTCCGCAGTTGTTTCGAATAAAGGCAATCCAGTCATTCTACTCACTAGCACTCCAAGGAAGCTGGGTCTTTATGTGGCGGAGGGGGTTGACGGGGGGTTGGCCGGTTATGAGGCGATTCGCTAGTACATTGTGTACATCTGTGTTAACGCGAATGTAGACGGGATCATGTCTTTGGAACTGGCGAGGGATAATAATAGCGGCATCGTATTTGCTGCTATATCCCATGCTTGCCATCGGCGATGGGACAGCTTCGTGGGTTGGTCCTAGACGAAGGTCTTGTCCATTCAAATGGTTGTCAAGTAATCTGCCACGGAACTTCGAAGCTATTCTATTACCAGCAGTCGTGTCAGTACATATGTGAATCTAGACAATAGAGATGAATACAGAAATAGAACATAGGGGGTCATAGCTTATTTCGTACCTGCCTGATTCCATGTCTCTTAAGGTATAGGCCGAATTACATACTCTTCCGTCGGGACCTTGGGAGTTATAGAATTAGCCTATGCTGCCGGCGATGCTCTTATTGTAAACCTACTTGCGTAGACTTTGCATAGTCCTTTGGGTCCTTTGTTGGTGACGACCATGTGGGTGAGCGTATCCTGCTCGTTGCCCCAGGTGAACGCAACTGCGCCCTTCTCAACTATGCCATGGGAAAAAGAAGTTGAGATGTGATCACGTCTAGGCACGCCAAGCTCGCGGTTAAGGAAGCCGCCGATAAGAGGGTGCTCCAGGGTCTCGGAACGAACAATGCGCTTCTTGTTCAGCACAACTTGATGGGCATGCTCAGCAGCCTCTGCGTCCTCGATCCTACGCTTCTTGACACTATCAGAAGACCAGGCTGCATTTCTTGGCGCCGTCTTGCGCTGTTCGATCTTGAAGTAACGCTTCTTGTCCTTGTCTATGGGGAAATAAGTTAGTGATGTGGAATTATTGATGGGGGGAAAGGAGTTATGAAAGCAGCAGAAGGGAGATTCTGGGATGTGATCGCCGATGGAGACGAGAGGAAGAAAGGCAAGTGGGGGAAACAGAAGAGGTAGAGGAGGTAGAGGAGGTAAGGGAACTTAATAAGTTGATATAGAATCGCGGATAGGACCAAATATGATTATTATAAGAATGCTGGTAGGTAGTCCCGAAATACCATGATAGCTTGACAGAATTGCGGCTAGAAAATCACAACATATCACCAATATTATAGGTATCAAAAGGCAAATAAGATAACTTACCCCAATAATATCCCGGGATCTCTTTGGGAGGCATTTTGTTATAGTTCAAAACGTGGTTCAAGGGGTGTATATAGTGCACGTTGTGAAGAAACACGTCGGCGATCCCAGGAGATAAATTGGGAGCTTGCTAGGAAATTTTGCCGATTTCTAGAGAGGAGTTACTGGTTTATACAGGGGAATAGTTAATGGGTAAAGGAATTTTCCGGTTCGCAAGGAATTGTTAATTTGTATTAGAACGTTGCTGTTACTGGTTTGTAAAGGAAAGTGGTTGGTTTGAAAGAAAAACTGGTGCATCGCAGATGGTGAAAGTGGAAAACGGTAGCGCAATTGACAAACTTTACAGACGGCAGTATTTAGGCGGTATAATGCAATAACGAGCCTGTGAAATATGTTAGGGACGAAGGTTTGTCTAGCTTGAACTTCCATCTAAGCAATTCAAGAATTGTGATATTTACATGACATCGAAGAAAACCAAAGCTAAAGATAATTGCCTTCAATCAGGGGTCTGATCTTCTAAATGCTACACAAGGTGCAGGGCAGGTAAAGTCCACAATTTGAACAAATAGAATAAGAGCATTCAACTACATGGTACCAGAATGGCGGTATGCCATTGTACCGGGGCGCTATACTCTATCAAGATATGGGCAATACCGACTACAACGATATATTAAATCAATACCACACTCTAGGCATTGCAATAGCACGCAGATAAAGGTACCATGCCTATAGCAATAACCATAACTTGGACAAGACCTTCTACACAAATATTTTACTTTTACACATACACAAGTCACTGGCACCCCAAGAACAATCATGCCTTTATAAAAGACTTGGACATAATGCAATTACAACACCGGGTCTCACGTTAATAGTCACATATTTCATATTTCTTTCATTCGTACGTAATTAAGTCTAAGAGACATGGGTATGACGTAACCGAAGGCCTATACGCCGTGGTATTTCAGTTTACAAGAAGGAAATGAAGCGAACAACTAAGCCCATGCGGATTATATCTAATTTATAAACCGAAGGCGAGAGTATGTTACACCAATTAAGAGCCTTCCCGACCGACGACCACCGCAAAAGGAGCGGCTCGTCCGTTTCATCGGGAGACGAACTATTGAGATTTTTCGTGCTGAGTAGAGACACGTTGGAGAGAGACGACTATGAAGCATATTAGTTAAGAGTTCATGAAACCAAAAAGTGGCGAAGTGTAACTTACCGAAGTCTTCGAGCGATCTCTGCTTTTGGCTGCCTTTGGGGGACTTGCCGTGCATGAGGTTGTCGAATCCAACGCTGTCCTGGAGGATGTAGTAAACACCACCCATGATACAGAAGACACCAAAGGAGAAGATCCAAATTCGGACGACGGCGACAATGTGAGTCAACGCTCCGTTTTCGAAGAAACCCCAAATGGTGAAGCAGGTGGCAAGGATATCGACAAGGAGAATGGCACCAGTCAACTGCCACGAGGGGATAGAAGACCAGAAAGGACCATTAGCACGGGTAATGAAAATCAGCCAGTTCTCAGTAAGAGAAATCTCAAGGAAAAGAACCTCATCCATGTTACCGTTGTTCTGGACAATACCACCGTTCTCGCCCTGAGCGTACATGGTGGTAACAGTGATCCAGGTACCAATGGCAAGAACGACACCGAGCAGGACGGACATACCCCAGAGCTTGGGTAGATTCCACTTGACAGGGCTCATGGAGTAAGGGGCATTGTCGTAGGCGATGGCTAGAGTGGCAACGTCTGCGAAGATGGCAATGAAGACAACCAGTTCAATATTGAGGGAGCGGTTCAAGATTGCGATCCACAGACCAAGGTAGATTTCCAAGTGAAGAGAAAGAGCGATACGGTAGACGACATAGGCGTACATACGGTGGAAAATTTGTCGGGAAGTCTTGAGAGCATCAATGATGGCACCTAGACCGGGGGCAAGGAAGACGATATCGGCAGCAGATCGGGCAGCGTCAGAGGCACCCTCGACGGCAATACCAGTATCAGCCTTCTTCAATGAAGGAGCATCGTTCACACCGTCACCAGTCATGGCAACAAGGTAACCACGTTGTTGTAGGATCTCGACGACATTGTACTTGTGTTGGGGGAAAACCTCAGCAAAACCATCAGCAGCCTCGACGAAATCGTAAACCTCAGAACCAGGCATGTCACCACCGCCACCAAGACCGAGACGCTCAGCATTGTAGACGTTGGTACCAAGACCGAGTTGACGGGAAGTTTCACGAGCGATACCGACGGCATCACCAGTAAGCATCTTGATGGAGAGACCTAGGCGTTTGGCTTCGTTGATAGTACGGGCAGTATCGTGACGAGGGGGGTCAGAGCAAGGCATTATACCGAGGATTTCCCAGGCACCCTCACCACGCTTGCGGGCAACACCAAGAGAACGGAAACCACGAGTAGCGAATTCAGCAACCTTGTTCTTGTAGGCCTGGTCAATCTCCTCAGAGATGGGGTGGTCTTCCTCGACAGTCTTCAGAACGAATAGCGGGGCACCCTTGACACAGGTAATGCGTTCACCTTGAGGGGACTCGACAACAGCAGTGACCTTCTTTGAAACAGGGTCGAAGGGGAAGAATTCCTTAACAATGTACTTGGATAGGACACCCTTGGCACGGGGGTAGTACTTCAGGGACTTGAGGAAAGCCTTGTCGATGGCGTCAATACCCTTCTTCTTACGGCTAGCAGCGAGACAGGCAGTAAGCATGAGATCCTCGGGGTCGACACCAGCAACAGTGTAAGGCTCAGAGAGAGAGAGCTTGTTCTTGGTCAGAGTACCAGTCTTGTCAGAGCAAAGAATCTCGACACCGGCCAAAGACTCGATGGCGGAAAGCTTCTGGACAATGGCCTTCTTCTTGGCAAGGTAAGCAGCACCGACAGCCATAGTTGTAGTGACAACAGCCGGAAGACCGACGGGAACACCAACAATAGTAATGGCAAGAGTGAACCGGAGGATGTCGACAATAGGGTTGGATCGGTAGAAAGAAGAAACCCAGACAACCAAAAGGGTGAAGACGACGAGAATCAACAACACAGTTCCAATACCGTTTAGGACCTCAGTGAAGTGACCGGAACCGGCAGCAGCCTGGTTCACTAGGGCAGCAGCACGACCGACGAAGGTGTTGTCACCAGTGGCGGTAACGACCATGAAGGCTTCACCACGCTTGACAGCTGAAGAAGCAAAGCACTGGTCGCCCTTGTGCTTGTCAACAGCGAGAGATTCACCAGTGATAGCAGATTGGTCGACCTGGAGGAAGGCATCATCGGTGACGATTCGGCCATCAGCGGGAATAATGGTACCCTCTTCGACTTGGAGGATATCACCAGGGACAACTTGGGGGGCCTCAACCTCCTTAAGAGTTCCGTCACGGAGAACAACAGCCTTAAGGGCAAGAGTCTTCTTCAGCTCGTCGACAATTGAACCAGCCTGGTATTCCTGAATGAAACCAACACAGGCGTTGAGGAGTAGTAGGGCGCAAATGACACCAAAATCGACCCAATCTTCCAAACCGGCAGCAAGGACGGCAGCAGCCTCCATGACGAATTGAATAGGACCAATAAAGAAACCCTATCTCAGGTTAGGAAATGACAGGTGCTGCACAGAATGTTGAAGTACTCACCAAGAACTTGAGGATGAGGTTCTCCTTCTCCTCCTTCATCTGATTGAGACCATACTTTCGGCGGCGGTTGGTAACCTCAGCTATGTTCAAGTTAGTTCATGCCGCCTGAAATTGCGTCGCAATGCCAAACTTACCCTCTGTTAGACCGACACGGGTGTCAGTTTGGAGCATCTCCTCCGGTACAACACGACCGGAACCAGCATTTTGTCCTTCTTCTTCCTCCTCCTCGTCGAAGGCGTTGCCATCTTGGGACTCGAGGTCCTCGATTAAGGCATCGATGTCCTCATCCTCTTCATCCTCACCCTTAGGCTTGGTAACAGTAGGGTTTTGGGCGCGGTGAGCCTCCTTCTCGTCGAAGTTACCCGACTCGATGTTTGTGTGAAGCGCCGGAGCGGCGGCGTTTGACTCGGCCATGACGGCGAGCTTCGGTTACGACAGCTGAGCAATGCTCAATGTCAAACCAGATTAAATAGAGATTGGGGACCGAGTCCAGGTAATTATTATTTATTAGTCCAGGATAGGCGAACTGTGTGGGCGACAATAGGATCCGACTGGAATACTGATTAGGTTGCAAGGTAGGTAAAAATTGAGGATGTTGTTTTCTTGGTGAGGTATGATTGTCGTGAGAGTGAAGGTAGACGACGTTCAGACTAATCACGCAGGAGGGGAGAGGGGAGATTTGGCGGGAAGGCACCACGGACGACCTTGGGGGGGGAATTGACAAGCCAGAGCAGCCGAAAGTCTTCAACGTGATGGGAAGGAAAAAAGAGAAAGCGCGTCCAACGTGGGAGAGCAAATTCTTTATAAGGTGAGAGAAACAGAGTGACAAGAGAGAGCAGCTAATTCCGAAAGTGGGGCGCCTAGTCGACCAAGCTACCAGTGGCTCACTACATGGAAGTAGCAGTACAGACTAACACAGTGTGGACTTGCCTCTTGCATGTTTCCACTAGACCCACTTATTAACGTCTAATAGATCCCTATTGGCCTAGCCAAGGCGATATTCAGAATACCACCTATCATTTAATGTTTAATGTTTAAGGTACGTGCATGTACATACGCACGCGTGATTTTTGTAAAATACCTTCGTTGCTGAGGTGTTAGTTGCGACGTAAAGCTTAAAAAACAATGGCATCTTAATAACTCAAAATAGCATAGATAGGTACATGAACTTTCATCATGTAGTCATAACAGTTTAGGTACCTAAAGTACATAGTTCTTACACCATTGAAGTCTTTACCTGTCATACATGTGTGTATGTACACTTTGCCCTGTTAACCTTAAGGTTTGTTGACATTGACGTTCAAATTCAGATGCATGTGTAGCTGGGTTAACATGTACGCTTGTCCATGGGGAAATTGCTTCTATGCGCCATTAGTACTCAGGGGCCGAAGGTACGATGCATCCCACGCAATACTAAGTGGATGGGCTTGTAACTGTACCTTTCTAACTACTAATTTAGGTAAACTATACAGCTCACGAACTTTACTACAGATAGGGAAGTACAAGTCACAGTGTGACTTGGTCCCTGCATGCTCCACCTTTCGGTACCTGAACAGCTTCGACTCCACATCCCATCTCCAAAGCAAAAGAGCAGGAGCACCCCATGAACTTTCTGATCTTGCGGGAATTTACAACTCGATTTCGCCCATGATGACAACGCGCACCGACTTTTCTACAACTAATTTACGGTCAAAGCTCTAAAGAGAATACTTCCGGAGCTGTAGAGGCATTTCTTCTTTCCAATTGGCACATTTTCAGGACCTATTCATCTATCTCTATGCAACAGTTGGCATGGGAATAGTTCTGGTCTAATT